CACTTTTATTTTGGTTTTACGTGCTTTACCCTAAGGTTTCCTGGGTTCTCAGCCATTCGGCTCTCAATGCAAATTGAGTAAAATTTAACTCCATTTTGAAACATGCTGCCCAAAAGATTAAGATGGACTTCTGATCAGCTCTTCAAATGCCGCCCTGTAACCTCTCACGCATACCAGAAGCAGTGATTTAAAGTCTGAGAGGAAAGGGGACAAATAATCACTCTGGAATGTTGGAATTGGCGAGGGTCGGGGTCGGTCCCTCACAAACACACAAGGTTCTCCTCTACATGTTACAGAATGAGATGAAATAAAAAAAAAAAAAAAAACAAAGGCCGGATTTAGTGAAACAACTGTTTTATCAGAGCTTGCAGAACGGACATCAGAACTACACAACCACAGGGAACAGCCCGGGTTTTGGGAGGATTTTGTTTCTTTGGAAGGTTTGGTTTTGGTTTTGGGGGTTTTGTGTTTTGTCTCTGAACCTTCGGCGAACGCATTAGCCATTAGAGGGGCAGTGCTGTCTGAGCTGCCCCGGCTGAGGCTGAGATCTGCAGGAAGGGTGGAAGTGAGAGGAGGGAGTGTGGCTGCCTTGTGGCAGAACTGAAGGAGGTCACACCCTCTCATGACCCTCGGGGAAGGGGTGGGACCAGCCCACGAGGGGCCTCGTGGAGGAGGAGGAGCCCAGGACTACTGGGCATGAACCCGGTTTACGATTACAAGGGTGGCCTTTTCCTGGAGGAGGGGCGGGAGGGAGACAATTGGACAGGGTTTGCCCCACATTTTTGTCTCCCCCCACCCCCACCCCAAGGGACTCGACAAATGGATGAGGGCAGTTAGTTCAAATGAGGTGTATCCTCCGGCAACAAGAAATTTAAAACCTAGTAGTGAGGCAGTCAGGGCAGATCAGAGGCAGACAGGTTGGGGAGGCTCTGCCTATTTTACATAAAGGAACAACATAACGGACCTACACTCTGAGTGCCTGCTGCTGGTTCTGGGGGCCTAAATCACCTTTGAATGGGGGAAGGATTTCTTTTCACTGGAATTAGTGATTCCCCCATGTAGCTTTTGTAGTGACCCAGGACAGAATGGGGCTGATGAACAGTCCCAAGCTTGAGTAAGAAATCTCTAGTTGATGCTCTCCAAAGTGGGCCTAACCTCATTAGATGAGAAGAAAAGAGAGAAAGGGAACATACTGAATCGTAACTCACTTCACCTGGTCCGTCTTGGTCATGCTAAAGCCAAGCAGCTACCATGCTTCCCTTCTCTTGCACTGGTTTGTTGGCTCTTGTACCCTGATTGGCAGCACCTGAACATGATGAACCTGGGATAATTACTATGCTTTAGGGAAGCCAAGCATACTCATTTCCCTCCCTGGGCCCAATCCAGGGTAGGAAGGAAGTACTGTTAATTTACAATTGTGGCTAATGACGAAGGCTGCCTATTCCCTAAGAGGCCGGCTATGTTAGCCTTGTCACTAGAAGAAACACCTGTGAGATGGAAATAAAAAAGATTTCTTTTGTCTTAGAAGTTCCAGTCTGTATTCTACTGACTACCCTGCTTTGGATCTGTGGTCAGGCAGCACGCCAAGAGCAAAGCAAAAGCACTCACCACAGGAAGACATGGCCAGCAAGCAAAAGAGGAAGAAATGGAGGTGGGAGGCGTCCTACAACACACCTTCCACTTGGCCCCAGCTCTTGAAAGGTTCTACCACCTCTCAACAGTGCCACCCTAAGGATCAAGTCTCCAACTGGTGGGACCTTGCAAACATTTCAAGATCCAAATTACAGGGAGAACCATGTATGTATAAGTTAGGAGATTTTTTTGAGCTAGGTATGGTGGTGCAGACCTATAATCTCAGCACTTGGGAGATGGGGTTAGGAGGATTTGGACTTCAAGGTCATCCTCAGCTACCCAGTGAATTAAAGACCTGCATGGACTACTTGAGACCCTGTCTCAAATAATAAAAAATAAGGATACTGGGAAGCTTATTTCTACAACATTAGGAGGCCATGTACAAGTACCTATCACTGTACTGAGTCTGCAGAGTTTTGTTTTGTTTTCTAAGTCCAAGTAACGCTAGAGACATAAGCAGTCCCCTTTGGGAAAGCAGACAAGGAAGTTAACTGTGAGAGCAGAGCGGTGGCCTTGGTGAAAGAGGAAGCATTTGAATGAAGACAAGAAGCGAGAATGAGTGGGGTTTGCTCAACGGTAGGGCTCCCGTTGACACCAGAGCATGTTCAGTGAAGTGAAAGAGCAATCACTGAATAAAAACAGAAGCCACCTCAAAATGAACCCAGGAAGGAAGGTGGGTGTGCTGTATCCTGTAGTCACTTGGAGGCCACTATAGATTTGGGGATCAAAATCAAGTGATCTGAGAGGTATGTGAGAGTGTGGGAAGACACAAATAGTATCAGCAACAGCAGCGCCTATCCCACGCCAACCATGTCCACCAAACCAACCCCATCATCCCTAGCACACTACTGTTACCATAATCCACACTAACTCATCACACCCACACTATTCACAACATCTGTTCTGTGACACCATCTCCATTCTCACCATTACCTTCAGAATCACCATTACCACCACCGCTATGCTCACCAACACCACTATCACATTTACAAGCCCCGCCCTCACTACCATAATCACTATTAGTACTGGCCTGTCCTTGGGGTTCTGACAGGATACGCCCTCAACTGCAGCCACTAAGAGCTCCACCTGTGCATATTCACTCTATTCCCTTTTAAAAAGGACCTGTCCACCTCCTGTCCTTTTCTCTCTCTCCCTGTCTCTGTTCTGCTCTCTCTGCCTTTCTCTCTCCCACTCTGTCCTCTCTTTCCCCTTCCTCTCCCCTCTCTCCTGCTGCTCCTATTTCCCCCAGGCTGGTCCCCCCTCCCCTTTCCCCTTTTTATGATCCCTTTCCCTAATTAAAAAAAAAAAAAAACCCTCTGCTTGAATCCTGTCTCGTGGCATCTTTCTCTTGCATGCTGCTTTTCTTAAATTACAACAGTCACCATCATCACACTGATACCATCATGCTTGATGCCTATGGCCAGAAGAAGGCATTGAATCCCCTGGAACTAGAGTTATAGATATTTATGAACCACACCGTGTGAGTGCTTAGGAATCAAATCTAAGTCTTCTGGAAGAACATCCAGTGCTCTTAACCAAACCAAGCCATCTCAACAGGTCTTTGTTTTTAAATTTCTTTTTGTGTGTGCATATGTATGTGTACATGAGTGTATAGATACATGTGCCCATACTTATACATGTAGAGACCAAAGGCCAACATGGGGCATCTTCGTCTACTGCATGCTCTCTACCTTATTTTTTTATTGTTGTTGGTATGTGTAAGTGTGTTTCTGTGCGTGCTGTGTAAGTGTGTGTGTGTATGTGTGTGCACGCACACTCACACACACACATACACAGAGCACTTGTATGAAGTCAGAGGACAACCTTCAAGTCTTCACCTTTCACCCTGTCTGACACAGCCTCTCTTTGCTGCAGTGTGAGCCAGGCTCACTGGACCATTTTCTAGAGCATCTCCCATCTCTACCTCCTGTCTCTTTGTAGGGACACACAGGAACTACAGATGCTTGTACTGTTGTAACCAGCCAGTTTACATGGGCTCAAGAGACCCTAACTCAAGTCATCAGGGTTGTGAAGAAAGTTTTTTACACACTGATCCATCTCCCCAACCCATCTTCACCTTATTTTTTGAATAGGATCTCTCACTAACCCTGAAACTCACTGTTTTGGCTTGACTTGCTGGCCCAGGGGATCTGCCGTCTACAAGCACTGGAGTTACAAACGCATGCTGCCACACGTAGCTTTTCACCTGGCTGCTAAGAATCTGAACTCAAGTGTCTATCTATGCTTCTGTAGCAAGCACTTTACCCACTGAGACATCTCTCCAGCCCTTTTTAAAAATTATTATGTATTTATTTTATGTGTATGAGTGTTTTGCCTGCATATACCTATATACACCATGTGTATGCCTGCTGTCCGTGGAGGCAAAAAGAGGGTATCAGATCATCCCCTGAAACTGGAATTACAGATGGGTAACCCACCACGGTGGGTGAACCTGAGTTGTATAAGAAAGCAGGCTGAGCAAGCCAGGAGGAACAAATCAATTAGCAGCACTCCTCCATGGCGCATGCCTTAGTTCCTGCCTCCATGTTCTTGCCTGGAGTTCCTGCCCCAACTTCCCTCAGTGACAGAGTGTAAACCGAGAGTTGTAAGCTGAAATAAAGCCTTTCTTCCCCACCTTGCCTTTAGTATTTTATCACAGCAATAGAAACCAAAGATAACACCCAAAATCTCACTCTCTTAACAACAGCAAAAACACATACTATAATCATATTACTATCAGTTGCTACTCAGTTTCTCGTCTGCACTCCTTTTTCATTCTGAGAGGCTGAACAAGCAGGCCCTATCGGGGACACAACGTTGCTATGGCCAAAGGAGAAGGTTACATAGAATCACTCAATGGTGTTTCCCTCTTCTCCGACTTAACTTTCATCCAATCACATGAAGCAAGCCAATCATGAAGCAAGGCACTATCAGTCACATATGGTGTCTAATTCTGTCATAAGAAGAACAAGAAATTGGTAACCTGGAGTAGTTTGAATGTGAGATGCACCCACTTGATCCTCAGCTAGTGGCTCTGTTCAAGGAAGGTTATGGAGCCTTTAGGAGTGGAGACTTGCTGGAGGAAGCACGTCACTGAGGGGCAGGTGTTGATGTTTTATAGCCTGGGCCCATTTCCTGTTCTCTTAGCTTCCTGACGGCCAGGCTAGCCTCAGGCTTCTCCTGCCATGCCTTCCTCACCAAGATGACCTCTATCGGTCTGGGAATACAAACCCTTTCTTTATACAAAATAAACCCTTTCTTTCCTAACTTCCTTTGTGTCAGGGTATTTTATCATAGCAGCAGAAGAATAACTAATATAAAGGCATAATGCATTTATTGTATGTACCACAATGCATATACCTAGAAATTTTTATAGAGTACCTTTCTTAAATCAGACTCATTGACTCACACCTGCAGTCCCAACACTACAGAGGTGGAGGCAGGAGAATCAAGAGTTGAAGGTCATTGGTGGCTACACTGTGAGTTGGAGCCATCCAGGGTAAATGAGACTCTGTTTCAGAAAAAAAAAATTGGGGCCGGGGAGGGGCCAAAAAACACAACAAAGAAACCCGGCCCCAAAAAAAAAAAAAAAAAAAAAAAGTTTTTTGAAGAGTATCTTTTTTAGCAGGGACATGATGGCACAAGCCTTTAATCCCAGCATTCGGGAGTCAGAGGCAGGTGGAGCTCTGTGAGTTCGAGGCCAGCCTAGTCTACAAAGTGAGTTCCAGGACAACCAGGGCTAGAAAAGAAAAGAAAAGAAAAGAAAAGAAAAGAAAAGAAAAGAAAAAGACTATCTTTTGCCGGGCATTGGTGGTGCACGCCTTTAATCCCAGCACTCTGGAGGCAGAGGCAGGCGGATCTCTGTGAGTTCGAGGCCAGCCTGGTCTCCAGATCAAGTGCCAGGATAGGCTCCAAAGCTCCACAGAGAAACCCTGTCTCGAAAAACCAAAAAAAAAAAAAAAAAAAAAAAAAAAAAAAAAAAAAAAGACTATCTTTCTCTATTTCACCTCTATATTCCAACGGGAATCATGTTTATTTGTGTTTTTACAGTGTAACACTGTAAAGTTATCCTTAATTTTTATTTCAAAAAAGAGAAGTATTTGACCGATTAAGACATTAGGTCCCAGGGTTGATGATGGCTGTCACTTTGCTGGTGGCTGATCAGAAACAATTGTGAGATGTGATTCTAGCACAGGAGCCATGGGAGGAAATCTGCTTAAAGCTTGGGGAAACTGTGCATAATGAAAACATACAAATGCCACTGTTGAAGGATGCGATGTTTGAACCAAGACAGTCATCTTGAAGCCACTAAAGGAAATTGAGCTGAACAAGAAGGTAACACTAAAGCATAGAAAGGATCTAAGTGCTGCCTCAGCCCCGGAGTCACGGAGTTTCCTAAAAGGTCTGTGCCTTTGAACTTCTTGTGTGAGTAATAAATTTCCCTGTGCCTACTGAGATGGCTTGGCAAGTAATGTTCCCGTCACGAAAGCTTGAAACAGAATTCCAATGCTGCAGCTCCAGTGCCCAGAAGGTGAGACACAGAATCTGGTCAGCCAGACTAGCCTTATGGGCAGTGAGCTCCAGGTGCAGCTTGACAGCTTTCCTCAATGAGTAAGGTAAGGAGTGATTGAAGAAGACTCCAGATTCAACCTCAGAACTCCACAGGCACATACACACCTGTGCACATGTACATAAATGAAAACATGTATACCCATATGAGAAAAATCAATCAATTTTCTCATATTTGCCAACTCTGTAGTTGGGTTTTCTGTTATAGGCAAAAGAACTGTCCACCATCAGGCAAAAGAGAAGTCTAACATCAGAAGCCATGCAGACTCAAACAAGAGAAAGACCAGCAGATGGTAACTGGCTGTAAGTGTCTAGCAATCAGCAAGATGGTCCAGCAGGTAAAAGCATTGCCACCAACCTTGATGCCTGGCAGCTTCAGTTCAATCTTTGGGACCCACATGGTGAAAGGAGAGAACTGACGCCATCAAGTTGTCCTCTGGCCTCTGTGCATGCTGCAGCATGTCCACATACACATATAAGTAAATGTCATTTAAAAAAAATAGGGACTAAAGAGCTGGTTCTGCAGTTAAGAGTGCTTACTGCTGGTCCAGAGGACCCAAGTTCAGTTTCTAACACTCACATTGGGTGGCTCATCGCTACCTGTACCTGCAAGTCCAAGGGATCCAATGCCCTCTTCTAGACTCTGTAAGCACCTACACACATATGGTTTGTACACACACACACACACACACACACACACACACAAGCAGCACATGCCCTAAACTGCTGAGACATTTCTCTAAGCCCTTATTTATTTCTTGAAACAAGTTTTCATGCTATAGCACCAGTTGGCCTAGAACTCACAATCTAGCCCAGGTTGACCTCAAACTCACAATAATTTTTTTGCCTTAGCCTCCTAAATTCTGACAAGTCAGATATGAACCTCCACACTACCCTCTGCTTTATATTGTAGTCGTGAATGTACAGTGTGTGTGTGTGTGTGTGTGTGTGTGTGTGTATGTTGAAGTAGCCCAGGTGTCTTCAAACTTGCTATGTAGCTGAGGATGACACTGAACTTACCCTACTACCTCCACAAATTCTGGGATTACAGGTGTGTACCTCTATACCAAATTTATATGGTGCTAGGGACTGAACCTAGAGATATGTGCACACTAGGCAAGCACTAACAATTGTGCCATATATTTAGCCCTTTATTATAGTCTCCACATAGGATTCTGTCTCAGAGAAATTAATTTTCCTCTTTAGGCCTTCAACTGGCAGGATGCCATCTTCCCACAAGCTAATCTTGTTGTGACTCAGGTCACCAAAACACCTCTGCAGCAGCTTCTAGACTGTGGGGGACTAAATAACTGGGCACCACGCTCTACCCAAGTAGACACATGGCATCAGCCACTGCAATAATGAAGAGGTAGTTTCCTTTGTCTTCTTGAAGGTTGTAGGTTCGCCTGCTGCTGGCCTGGCCTGCTTGGAGAGCACAGACAGGAATGCAGAGACCAGCTTCTACTGAACTTGGGCCAGAAAATGTCTGACCCTGAGGGCAGAAACCAAGTGCTGAAGGTAGAGTGCTGGTGGAGCCTGAAGGCAGAAAGGACCCTTAGAGCCACTCAGCCAGACCTTGGGTGCTGCTCCCAGACTTCCTCCTCCAGGACAGAAATAACCTCTTAGAAGTTCACTCCTTGCGTTTTCCAATGTATGTAGCTCAGCCCGAATCTATGCAGTACAAAAATCAGAGAAACACAGTTTGCTTAAGGAAAGCAATTAGACAAAGGACCAAACAAGAAACATTCTAAACTTTTTAACATCTATTTATTTATTCATCGTGTGTGTGTGTGTATGTGTGTGTGTGTGTGTGTGTGTGTGTGTGTGTGTGTACATGTTTTCAGGAATCTGTTATCCTTCCACCATTCCACAATGTGGGACTTGGGGATCAAACTCAGGTCCTCAGTCTTGCCAGCAAGTACCTTTAATTGCTGAGTCATCAGAGGTCAGAGAACAACTTTGTGCAGCTGGTTCTCTTCTTCTTACATGGTTCCAGGGGATCCAACCCAGCCCATCAGGCTTGTCGTGGAATAACACCTTTCACTGCTGAGCCATCTTCACAGCCCTAGAGACAGTTGTAAAGAACACGGTTCATAATGACAGAAATAAGACTAAAGAAAATGTGGGGGCTGGGGGGCAACAGCTGGGAATGTTGCTCAGTTTGTAGAGTACTTGCGTTGCGTACCCTGGATTCTATCCCGAGAGTCACATAAACCAGGCATGCTGGCACATGTACAGAAGCAAGAGGATCAGAAGTTTGAGGTCATCCTCAACTCCAAAGCAAACTTAAACCCATCCTGGGATATATGAG